GGGTAGGAAACACAAGGAAGCAGCTGGAAGGTTTTCTCCGGGCTTTCTCTTTCACACGCACCACTTCACGCATCAGCTGCCGTTCCTGTCGGCCCCTTTCCCTGCCCGTGACCCAAGAGGACATCACTGTGGTGACTCTGTCCACGTTTGCCCCCCTTCACAGCAGTCTACCTGCTACACGGGGGCACTGAACTGAAGGTACTGGCCACTGGGTTTGTGCAGACAGCGCCTCCTCTCAGCCCGTGAGCTGGCGGCCTTTCTGGGCTGCCTGGGCACTGACATAGGTGGCTCAAGTCTGCCTCGTTCCTTGCCAAGTTGCCTCACGTGCACACAGTGCAGGAAGGCCAGCGGTGCACGCGTGCAGCGGGTTTTTAAAACACACTCCCTCTAAGAGAAGGCTCTCCCAGCTCTGCGTGGAGGGGACAGGAGTGTTGGACGCGTGTCAGCTCCGTGTAGCTGAGGCCCGTCGGCAGTGCCCACCCCCTGTGCCCTCCCAGCTGGTGTACATGGGCTTCGACGCGGCGGCGGCCAGAGCGGCCCTGAAAGTGTTCAGGGGGAACGTCCAGCTGGCAGCCCAGACCCTCGCTCTCAATGGAGGAAGTCTCCCTCCCGACCTGCAGCTCTCGGTGGAAGATTCTTCACCATCACCATCCACGTCCCCGTCTGACTCTGCAGGTAGGTCTGAGGGCTCTGAACACCAGGTGGGGCTGAGTGTTCAGCTCAAGTGGCAGCTGCCAGGTGGAGTGTACGACTTCTCCTAGGCTGATGTGGGGACTCAGACGGGCTTCCCAGATGTCCACGGCACGGCGTCTCGGGTGGCGTGGCCAGGCAAGGTGTAGCCAGGCAAGGTGTAGCCGAGGCTCCTGTGGGTCAGTTCAGTCTTTCCATGGAATTTTCTTTCTTTTCCCTTAACTCGCTTGTTACCACACCTCTCCATCGCAGGTACATCTAGTGCCTCAACTGATGAAGATATGGAGACAGAGGCTGTCAATGAGATACTGGAAGATATTCCAGAACATGAAGAAGATTATCTTGACTCAACTCTAGAAGATGAAGAAATTATTATTGCAGAGTACTTATCCTATGTAGAAAATATAAAGTCAGCAACAAAGAAAAACTAAGTGATGAGTAGAAATCAGTACTAAGTTTCTGCTTATAAATTCTATCATTATGAAAAGTGCAACGCAGGTCTTTTTTTTCCTTACTTTTTATGTCATTTTGCTCCAGAGTGCTCCCTGCGTGGAGGGCTGGTCGGGCAGGCAGTGAGCAGGGATGTGGAGCCCAGGAGGAGACGTGGTCAGGTGGGGGTGGGGTGCTGCGAGGAGCTGCCGCTGGCCTGACCTTGCTGTGTCCCGCTGCCTTCAGGTGCTGTAGTTCTCATGCCGCCCTCTTGCTTGTCTTTTTCCTCCTGGAAATGGGAAGGTCTGGAGAATAGGGTGGCTCCTCGGCAGGGTCTCTGGAAGCACTGATGGGGAGGGAAAGCGGGACCTGTCTCCTCCTCTTCGTCTTGCCGGGCTCTCCTGCCCTCCTGAGCCCGCTGCCGATGCTGCTGCTTCCCGTGATGCAGCTCTGCCTTCCTGCTTCACCGCCTCTGCCCCACCCCAAAAATGTCCTTTAGATCTTCAACCACTGCAAGTGCTTTGGGGGCCTAAAGATGAGGCCTCAGCTTCAGTAGCGATACCAAATTGTGGCTGATGCCCTCCACCTGTAACGCCAATGTTTTGTTCTTAGTTTAGTAAAATAGGCACTTGAAATTCAAGGTTGAAACTCAGAATTTATATGTATTCAAAATTCTTTACAAAAATAAAGTCTTTTATTAAATGGGAAAGTCTTAAATGCTAACCAAAGCAACTTATTTTTAATTAGCATTTTT